GATAACAAAGGGCCGATAACGGTGTATTTCGTGCTCTCATAACGGCCACGTCGATTCTCCTTCGCTATCACGGTTTCACGTGATCCGTCACGCTTATTAAACGTCGCAAGTGCGACGAGCGCGACTTTTATTTAGCAGCTGTACGTGGCCGTCCTACTTGCGTCGTTTATTCATACTTTCTCGCCCCTCGCCCCCTCGAAATTTCTAATTAACCGTTCGGGATTCATTTCGACCGGATGGTCGCTCGAAAGAATTGGAAATGGAGAATTTCGCCGGGAATTTGAAGAAGAATTTCGTTTCGAATGGGGGAAATTTACGATCCTTCGAACGAATCATCGCCACAGTGAACAGCGAATTGTTTTTATATCGCGTCGTGTTTGTTAATCTCGCGTGCAAATATATTACATGTCGGACAGCTTTGCACTCGAAATGCTCGAAACACAGGTATCGATTTCCACCGCCGGATGCTACTGGCGTTATTTATTTTTCCATCGGCGGAGCGATTAATTATTTCGTAGACATTGATTTACCGTCACTCCGGCAGATATCATCGGATAATATACTTTCGAAGACACTCTGCGTACACTATACCACGCACACGCTATAGAGAGAGAGAGAGAGAGAGAGAGAGAGAGAGAGAGAGAGAGAGAGAGAGAGTCAAAGATCTGAGATCATATGGTGAGAAACGGTGAGAAAATAGTTCTGATGAAAAATCGCGCGAGTCACGAGGCAAATGAAAAATTCATCGCGACTAATTGCAAGTCGACGATCACTCTTCAACGTCATAGACTATCAACTAATTTCCCATCCGGGCGGGAACGATGTTACGGACGGTCCGGCCGGTTGACTGGAAACTTTTAATTCGCGGCACACTTGGGCCAGGCATGTGTGTGTTGTAGACCCGATGAAATTTAAATGCAACCGCTGGACTTTATATTCATGACTCCTCCAAGTTGCCAGTTGGGACACGGGGGTATGTTTGAGCGTTACGCGCTAAGTAGAAGCTACCAGAAGCGGTACCAACCGGTCGGTTTTTGCGGTTTACTCTGGCCAGCACGCGTATTAACCCGCTTTTCATCCATTTGCCAGCCACGAACCGGCTAATTTTCTGTTCGAATTAAACGGCGCGTGGACAACTCGTCGTATCGCCGGTTCCTCTCAAAACGTGAAACGAAACGTGTTCCGCGTTTACTTCATACCAGTTTCCTAATAGTTTTCCTGATTTCCCTGCCCTCTGTTCAAACGCTTCATCTCCTATGTGCGTACAATGTCTATCAAGATTCGTTATCTGCTAAAATATACACTCTTCGAGCGAAAGCCGAGTATCGCAGTATATCGTGGTAAGTTGTGCGGAAAGGAGGACTCGTAAATAATTTTACTGCCCTCAGTCACTGCCCCCTCAGGACATCATGAACTGTTTTACATTATGCAACGTCTGTTTAAGATTGAATTCCCTTTTATGCACGTGCAATACGTCATCTAGGTTCCTTTTGAATTAATTTCGTTCGAGACTTCGCTTCGAGACGTCTTTAGAAAATACAATTAGCTAAACTGAATCTCGTTAATTTCTCGTTAATTTCTTAGCTACTTGCAGAAGCAACTTTCATTGCTATTTTTACGCAGATTGCTGATTCGATGAATCGACTATCGATTTATCACGAAAACGCCATTTCACCATCCACTTTTCACGGGACTTGCAAATATTTCACGGAAACTTGTGAAATTGGTGGTGCAACGCTGGCAAAATAGTATAAAATATGTATAGTACAATACGAACAATACAGAGCCAAACTTCAAATTTATTCTAAAGATTCCTGATAATTCAAAAATAAAAAAATTTCTGGTATGGTGCTGCACAGTCATCCCCTTTATAATGCACTTTGTTTCGATCGGATGTCTCACTCGACTCCCGAGATATGTTGGATAGAATGTGTCGCGTCTCACACAGGCCCAGAAATCTAAGGTCGAATACTATAATATATTAATAGCATAATAAATTAAGTACAACAAACACAATATTTACGATGTAAATATAAAAGTATAAATCGTATACGCAATATGCAATATACAGTGTGAATGGTATTTACAATCAACAGAATGCATATAAAACGTGTCAACAGACATAGTATATTTAATGTATAAACTATATCGATAGTGTATACAATAAAGGCTCTGTCAAGATATTAATATACTGTACTATATGTCGTATCGTTACGTCACAATGAAATTAAATTAACTGCAACATTCGCATTTAATTTTAAATCAAAATTAAACACAATACATGCAGCATAATTGAATGCAATGAATACAAGCCATATTTTATACAATAAAGACTCTGCCAATGTTTTAATATGTTGTACTGTTACATTACGATACAGTAAAATTAAATTAAATGCCAAGTATTTACATTCATTCACATTTAATTTCAAGTTAAATTTAAACGCGATACGTACAACAGATATAATTTGTATAATGAAGACTCTGTTAACATGTTCTTACATTGTATGCACGATGACGCACATTAAAGATAAAAGTGTCCTGAGACTTTTGGAGCGGGAGTGAATGTACCTACACACGTATGGTGGTCGCGGCCGCGAGGAACGCTGATTGTGAATGAGCGGCCGAAATTCCAGGAAATGCGCTGACCCACTTTTCCTTCCTCCTCGAATTACGCACGTCGCGCCTAGTAATAGTGGCGGTAAAAAAAAAAAAAAAAAAAAAGAAAAGAAAGTGTTGACTCAGCGTCTGCGTGTGTCCTGACCACGCGACACATGCTGTCGCGGCCAGTTATGGCAGGTGAGTGAACGGGTGCGAGCGAGAAGTCTGAGCGTGCGCGGAAATATTAAAAATTACAGTGTCCTCTTTCAACGTTATCGGCGTTATCTCGAGAACGGAACGTCGTATCGGGACGAGTCGAGAAGCATATCGCACTGTTTTGAAATACTTACATGTACTTTTTACGCCATCTGGTAAGATCGTAATCGTTTGTTGCAAAAATTTACGAAATAAGACAATGCCGACAATGTGAATATAATGTATTATATTTGATCGTGGAAAGAAAATGTATTACAAATGTACACTGCACTGCCGGACGCTTATAAATGTAGGAATTCCGGCTTGAGACCCAAATTTGTAGGAATTTTGATAAAAAATGGTTGTTTATTTAAAGTTAGATAAAGAAAATTCGTTCAATGATGATTATAAAGTGACGTTTTACGCTATTTTCTTCATTGCTAAACTCGCTAAACTCTCAACTCACTCTCTTTTCTCCGACTTCTCGACACTCATTGCCTTTTTTCCTCATCTGCACAAAAATTCGTCATTCATACACACATCCACACAAACGCATCCATACTTAATATCCTAAACGTTAGGCCTGGAGGGCTAGCCATAAACAATCCCAAGTCCCAGGCCTAATTTTCTCTACAGTTTATGGTACACCACTTGGGACATTTGCAATTATTGGGCACTGGAAAAATCCCAGAATTTGCCCATCCCACATAAATAATATACACGTCGGCTAAAACAAACAGTTTCCGGTGTTCTTTTCGCCGCGAGAATCACGTGCGTGGGGCGACAATTGTCTCGCTCTTAGGTTTCTTTCAGGAAAAAATGAAATTTCCCCACAACATTCCCAATCGTTCCGTCTCATTCGTCACGTTTGGTTCCGCACACGTCGAAACAACCGCGAAACGCGTTTCACCAGCGACGATCGCGGTCGCGCGTATTTAGTTTACAGAGATCGGTTATTAGCCAACAGCGCGAGTAAATAATTTCGTGTTTCGTGGCTTGGTCATTCCTCGGAACGCCGATGACGTTTCTCTGGCCGCGGCCTCCCGTCGCGTCGCGTCACGTCGTTTCAATCAACGTATGTATATGTATGTATATGGATTATACCGTAACGGCCATCGAGCGACGTGTGTTCACCAATCAGAAACATCGCATTAATCATAAACAGTCTGACAGGTTCGTAACTCGCGAGATGAATTGGTCGCGCGAAATTCATTGACGCACTTAAACGCGAACAGTTAGTTGAACCCTCTGGCCATCTTCGCGAGCGCAACGCGCGTGCGCGCGCGATCGAGTTCAATGCACACCGAAGCTTAACGGAAGTGCATAAATGGCATACCGATGTGCCCGCGGGGAAACGGTTTAGCGCATCGCGTCAGCTGGCAATCGGATTATGCGCGAGTTTTGCCGTGGGGAGGAGGGAAGTGAATCAAGGATCGAACAGGCCTTTCGATCGAACAGGTGATTTCAACTTCGTTTTGCATGTTCGGAAATTATTGCCTCGTAAGAACTCTTTGTGTCTTTCGCTGACAGTCGAAGCAGACAGTGTCGTTGTGCTTTCTAACTGTCGAGTTTGATGAATGATTGTGAAACGTTTTTGCCATTTTTCAAAAGAACCGTTGGGTACGTTGGGCAAGTTTTTTACCTTCGCGACGAGTAGAATACAGTGCAAAACGAAACGACAGGTTCTCTACGTGTATTTCTATCAAAAATGTAAACTTCATCTATGACAGTCACGAACGAACGTTTTTTTTTTATTAATTAAAGGAACAGCTATCCAAGACAGACAGCCTTAACCGCGAGGACGGATAATTGAGGTGAGAGGCGTCGAATTCTTGGCAGCCTGGTCTGCCATTCGTATCCGCGGTCGTTCCATTAAAGCCCGCGTTCTCACTGGAAAATGCCCCCTTTCTTTCGCCCCCATAAAGTGGCATTAATTACCCCTTCGAGGCGCCGCCTCCCGGTCGTCTGCCGCGAGAGATTTTCGTTTTCTTTGGAATTCGGGATGTATTAAGCGAATGGCCCCAGGCGACCGTGCAATTTCGAACGCATTAACCAAACGACTCTCCCAACCTTATGCGTCTTTCAGCAATTTTCAAACTGTTCGTACAATCGTTCGTCTATTTTGCGATCTCGACTCAACTTCAAAAATCCCCTATAAATCGTGTAGAGAAGCAAAGAGAGATTCGTCGGTTCGAAGTGATCCGTAGATACCGCTGCATTTGACGTTTAGGATAGCTAAATCTGGCGGCCGGAGGGAAATATAGACAGAACTCGGCGGAGTGGGTGGTGGGGGAGGGCGTCGTTGCTGGTTTAAAACTTCTACATATCCCGGCGTCGCCGGTTTTGTCCCCTTTTCTATCCCTATTCCCGTTCATTATTAATCTCGCTGCGCGAAAGTTGGCAACGCCGAGGCATTAATCATGCCGGTGCATCGTGGTAATTCCGTGGGACCTACTAATCACGGGGGCAAGACCAATTAATTCGTGGCGACGTGCGAGAGAGGGGTGAAACACTCGGCTGGACAACCGGCGCTGCCAGCCCCCTCCGCCCCCCGTTGTCTGCGTGCGAATTTTCGTTGCACTTTCGTCCATTTCTTCGAAACATATTGCAACTCGCGTATTTCTACGCGAGATTTCACCGTGATTTAACGCTAGAACTACCGACGAAAAAGTAAAATATTTGTAGCAAAGAAATGAACGTGCAGAATACATGACAAAGTTATCAGTACAGTGAAGAATATAAGCTTCTATCAATATATTTTATTAAAGATCACTCGAGTATTTAAAATATTTAAAAACTAGCGCATTTAAAAATACACTGCTGTGAATATACGAAATTTCCATAGAAAATTAGAAATTCGTCATGTTGACGCTTGTTTCTTCTGTGCATCTGGTGAATTTGTCAGAGCCCAGTCGTTTTCTTGAACTCGAATTTTATAGTTCGACGTTCGTCGTAATTTTCGAAGCCAATCGAGCACTAATCGACGATCAGTCCTCGATATAAAACTCGCAGCGATAAAGAATCGAAAAGGGAGAGCCTCAGCGGCCCCTCCGTTCGAAGAGGAATTCCACTGGGAAGAGAAGCGCGGAGAGTCTGGTTGGCCGTGAATCTCCACGGTGAAATTTCCGCCGATCCCATAACTTGCCATAGTACGAACCGTTCTGAGAGCGTCATTGCCTGAAGATTCTGGTTGACGGGTGAAGAGGAGGCACGTCGACGTTTCGGCCGCGTGTCTCTTCCTCAAGGTCCATTAGCCGCGAATCTGCTGCGGTTCCAGAAAACCGTTCGACCTGGATGGCTGTTCGATGTCGTCGAAATGACGCTGCTGGAAAAAGAAGAAGAAAAAGAGACTGGAAAGGAAGAAAAAAGATGAGAATGTGTGTGTGTGTGTGTGTGTGTGTGTGTGTGTGTGTGTGTGTGTGTGTGTGTGTGTGTGTGAGAGAGAGAGAGAGAGAAGGAGGTAGGAAGGAGAGAAGGAAGGAGCGGTAGTCTTCCAATAAGCAACTGGAAACTTGGACTGGCTCCAAACAGGAAGTAATACCAGGCTTTCCAACGGGCCTGCCAGCGTCTTCGACAAACTGTGCCCTGTCTACAGCAATAGTTTCACGGCGGTTAACGAGGACCATTGTCTAGAGATGCCAATAATTATGTTAGTTCGCTGCAAGTCTTGACAGTCTTCGAACACCGGGATAACGAGAATGTTTCTTCGGTGTGGGCGGTGTCGAAGGATTTGAAATTGATCGGTGTGGATAGATTGGAAATCTGACGACGAGTCTGACAGATGGTTTAGAGAGCGTTTAGTCTGCCATTCGGTTATTTCCACGCGAGACAGATGTCCCCCCCCCCCCCCCCCCAGCCTGGCGTCGTGTGTCTTAAACTGTGATTAAAATCATACGCAATAGGCAAAACAGTGCAAAACAGTGACTTGTAATTTAATTGTTACGTCTACAGTCAATTGCATCTAAAAAGAAATGATGCCTTGCCAAGCTAGCAAGTTAGAATTTTCTAAATTGAAAACGTACCCATAAATACGTCGGAGTGAAGCGAACTTTAAGTAAACTCTCATAATATTTCAATATCAGACACTTTCTGTCCACATTAATTAACCAGAAAATAAGCTGGACGTGATGCATTGTGCTCGTGCAAGTACGCAACAGTATTTCCCAAAGTATTAAATGTCCGCCCTCGGAGAGGTGGGACTGGGATTTTCAGAATAAAATATGAAGCACTAAAAACTTATCGTCGCAAGTGTTCCCAGTCTCCTGCGATTATTTACGCTGCTAGCCCTTTGCGAAAATACTTACACGGTAGATTTAAAATATGAGGAACGACGTTTGCGCGAAAAGCTTTTAAAACATTAATGAGTTTGTCGCAACGAAAGATGAATTCTCATGGAATTTAATTTCGTTTAATTATCGAGAAATTCTCGCCGCAAAATTTGTTGAAATATTTATCAAGTTGTCCTCCGAGTTGCCGAGCAAATCTCAATTTAAACTCATATTCATGCCATTATGTAATGAGGCTCGTTCGATTTCATCTCGTCGAATTACTTTACTTTGGCGAATTATTTTTCAACGGGAATTCGGACACGTTAGAGCGTTAAATGATGACGTTAGCACCGAGATTCGCGAGTTTCGCGGTCGAAAAGTCTCTTTTGTCCCGCGACGTGCAGCGAAAATCCGCCAAAGAGAATTCGCGTGTAGAAATTGGATACAAACGAGAGAGCACTTGTTAGCGACGCTAATCATTCTAACCGGCGTTTAGCAGTGACGAGAATGCTCATTCGTTGCGAGTAAACAAAATCCACAGTGGCCTCGTTTGAAATTATATTGCGAGTGTGTCTCGTCTGTGAGCTTAGTCGGGCGTGACCCAGTATTTCATTAGCGATATTGTTTCTTCAACGAGAGATTTCCCAAGAAATTTCGAAAAAGTTGAACGCCTGACGGAACGATTTGTCTTTTCAAAATTTGAAGTCTTCATTCCGCTGAGAAACAGAGTTTCCGATGAGCAAGGAGAGAAGAATTTTCGTGGCCCAACTTGTCTGCACGCAGAGCTCAACAAGCAAAGTTAGCTCTGTTTGCTCAAGTAGTATAACGATTAGAGTTCGCTACCGCGACAGTTCATTTGTTTTTTCGGCGTGCTTCGGACAACAGTACAAACGAATTCGTAACGAAACAATCGAGCGACACGTGCAAGCAGTCGTAGCGGCGGATTCATTTACTAAATTTTAACGAAAGTTTCCATCCTGTTGGCGACAAGCGCATGGAAAAAAGAAGCTTCTCTTTAGGAAGCTTTCATTTGAAATTCGCCTGTTTCGCGTGTTCCTTGCCTCTCCCTGTAAATTGCAATGCAATTCTCATTTTTTAATTTTGCAGTTGAACCTGACAGAGATGCGCTTATCTCTGCTTTCAATTGGAGCAATTCCAACTTGAATAATTTACTTTTCCTGTATATATGATGCTGTTTCAAACTTGATATTAACCGTTTCGTTTTCACATTTATTTATCTCGCCGCGTTCACCGTTTCCAATTTTCAATAACGTTTGTGCGCTATTTGGTTAAATACGTTTGACAGTATGGTTGAAAAAAAAAGAGAGGGGGAAAATAATATCGATAGAGGCGCATGATACGTATAAAATATAGGTGTTTGAATTACCTTGACGCGGTTCACTGAGTTGTTCTGATTAAAATCCATAAACTGCCGTTGTTTTCGATGAATCGTCATTGAAAACGCGGGCTGATAGAAGAATTTATTGGCCATTTATTAGCGCCGTTACGAAATATTCGCGATACGAAAGTGACGCAGTTTTTGATGGTTAATTTTAATGGTTAATGTCATGATGGCGCGAATTCTCTGCATTGCCGCTTTATTTATAGAGCCCCAGTGTCGATGACCAGATACGGAATTAACTCATTATTTGTCGTAACGCGTTCGGATAATGTACGATCATGATTTCATCTCTCAAAAAATTTAAACGGGCATTGTAAGAGGAGGGAATGTTCATTAGTTGCTTGAAATATTCCCCACGGTTGCACGTTTTACCTTTCACTTTGATCGGGGTTGGCATTTTACGATACTTGAATTGTTAATTATCAAATATTAACCAAAATGGAACCCGACCCCGTGAAAGCTCGATGCACATTGAAAAATCTGTTCGTGTCCTCTCAATTACTCATCCAATTGATTTCTTTTGGAACGATCAGCTTGCCTTTTACCAAAACTAATGGCTCCCTGGATTCCTTGATTTTTCGACTTTCCTTTGATGATTCCTTTCCTATTCCAGTTGACGAGAAATAAGAGAAAGAGTGAGAGAGAGAGAGAGAGGAAGGGAAGGAGGAGATAAGGTGGAAACCACATTTCCACGACGTGGAAAATGGCAGACATGATATACACGTATCAGCGCGTGTGCAGTTAGCGTTTCTGACGTTTAGGTTAATGTACACGTTTGGTACGAACAGGTACCATGGCTTGCTCGCTCATGTGTTCCCACTGTTACTTGAGCGTCAATGGAAACACGAGATACATCGTTTCCGAGATCTTAAGAAAAGAAACAGCTTCCATCGAAAATGGAATGGCTCACTCGCCACTTTCTCTTTCTTTAAGTAATCTGTGTTTACAGGTATAAATTTGCATAAATATTCGCAGTCACATTTGAAACTTTCTACAAATAATGCCAGGCAACAACAAGTATTGTCAATACAACCTCGAATTCCGGCGCATGAAAATGAGAAGTGTCGATAACCGCGGAATTAATAATAGTAATATTTGATAATTTTCGCTTTAGCCTAGCCTCGGATATACTCGCACACGATTTTCTCGACACGATTGCGTGCAAAAACTGCCATAACTTCAGCTGTATTCGTGTTTACACGCATTACTTTCTACGCGACGTTAGATATATTTACTTCATCACGAAAAGGTATTTCTTTTACGTTCACGATCCGTCATCTGCACCCCATGACCATTAGAAATCTTTATGGGACATTCCATGGGACACCGACAAGGATTTCGATATTACACCGATCGACTGATTGAAGCGAAAATTTATTTGACGCGTCGTTTTATCAAGATACCGCGGGACCAAAATCTCCCAACGAAAATCAACTGAAAATTACAGCTTCTTCGATTTCAGCGCCTTTAATTTCTTGATTTCTTGTCCTTTACCAGATCGAAAATTTTTCGACTAAAATTTTCCAAGTATTCAAAGATTGTAAAATTTAGTATTTTTGTCAGCAGGACGTGATTCTTCCTCGTTTCGACGCTTTACACGAAAAATTAATATCGTGCGACGACGAATAAATAAAGTTTAATCTCTCTGAAACTCGGAATTTATTTTTGTGACGTGCGACGAGACTCTACTTTGAGAACTTTATTATCCGGCTTATTTATCCGTGTTTCAATACATTTAATAGATTTAACGAGATACCTTGTTGCTCGCGTTTAGCTGATAATTTCGTATTTATAATCGAGTTAACCTCGTTTCGGAGATACTTCGTAAAAACAAGTTCGATTAGCAATCACGCGATTTAATGATTAATCGATACGTAAAGGATTAATTTTGTACGCGAAGGTTTCGGTAGTGTATGCATGGTACGTTGCAGTCTGACGAGGAGCCAAGCGTCTGATTTATCACTGGTTGAACTACTGAGAATCGCTTTGTTCGCAAATTCACAACGATGATATCTCCGTTTAAAAAACGGTTTGCGTTTGACGCGTTCAACAGCTAAAGAGAGTTGAACACGTTAAAGCGTTTCATAGATGGAATTCTCAATTTGATCATTTTAATACGCTGACAACTGTCGTTAAAGATTCATAAATATTCCATTTCTGTCATTGTCAGCAGACCGATTTTTGTCATTCGTTAATTCCGGTGATTCCGTCATATTCGTGTGAAAAGCGAGCTACTCGTTTTTGATTTGAACATTTAATTTCTTACGAGTGTTTATCAAATGAAATATGTTTCTTGTCCTTCTTGGTTAATAGTTTTTGTTAATTAATTAAACATTGTTAGTGTTAAAAGTTTTTTAAACAATATCTACATGTTTAATGTTATAACGTTCAAAGTTGTCTGATATCAATAAAAGTTATTGACGTTTTTTGCGATCAAAATAAATTAGTTCGACATATCGTCTGACTATTACGACACTGATTCCACTGCGCGAAAATATTTCTAAGAAAATTCTCCCGTTAAATTTCGTAATTTCGAGGATCGAGTCGACGAGACGAAAGGAATTTTGTGGTTCACAAATTAAAGGCCAACGAGATTACGCGCACGAGAGGGAAGCGATAAACGACAACTTGACAAATTAACTATTGCGACGCGGGACGCGCAGATGCGGCTAACGACGCCAGAAATGGAGAAACTTGATTGTTTACGGATCTTGTTTTCGACATTAGCTCTGTTGGCCGATAGGATACGATACGATGCGAAATCGATCGGTTTTAGAATATCTCGGGGGGTCCTAGAAACGTGTATACACCATCTAGCCAAGGTTTATTCTGCCAGCATAGTGGTTGTCTAATCACATTACCGTATTTTGTCCTCTCTATCGTTTTCTGGATATCTCTCCGCCACGCAATCCGTATTTCCCGGCCGACGATGAGATTAAGATACTAATTTTAAAACATTTCGTCCAAATTTATCGGCAATCGATACGAAAAGTGACTCTTTCCTCCTATCGTCTGAACTTTTACGAAAGAATTTCAATATCGACTGAATGTTTCTGTTACGTTTGTTAAGAATAGTCACGACTGGTGCCGCTCGTGCACTTCTGCGCCTCTAATATGGGAAATGAAGAGTTATGGTTGATGTGTATTTTTGTTGCCTAATTTTATTGCCTGTGACAAGCCTGATGGTTTCTACTGAATTCTTACTTAAATGGAAATGATAAAAATTATTATCTTAGATTTACCTTGTCCTGATATTCTGCCTATAAAATGTTTTGAATGCCACTCCGTTGAATACTGTCTGATTCCCTCAAAGTTCTCCTTTGTAACAAGCTTTGAATTGCCCTTTCCAAAGGAGTCTAAGGAACTGTAAAGCAAGGGATGTGTCAAGACCAATCAGGAAGTATTTCTGGAGGAACGTTTCTGGGAACGATTGTCTTTTGAAAACTGAATCCCGCTGCCCACATTCTATCTTTCGAGTACGCGCGTGTTTATGACATGGTGCAGAAGACCTTATCGCACTTGAGATCGACAAAATTTGGCGTCTAGTTTGGAATTTTCCAATTGTAAGCGATCAAAAGTGGTTTAGCAATTCCTGATTTGCCACGCTGGGTACTCTGAGGTGTACCATGTCACAAGTGTTAGGTATCCTTGGCCTTAACAACATTACAGTTGTACGAACATAATTCGTTATTTGCTGTCCAAATTGCTCGTTAACCAATCACTGTATTTGTGTCATTATTTCAAATATTGAAAAATTAGAGAACCAACAGAAATGGATGCATATCTTTGATTTGTGTAATCGTCAAGTAACATTACGATTATATAAAATACAGTTCTACAAATCATGTGTACAGCGTCGCGATCTGAGGTGTTTGTTGTCTGAACATAAAAATCTTTCGTTCGCGAGTTTTGGGGCAAATGTTCCCTAACAGTCCAAACCGATCCACAGCCCAACTGTACAACTGTTATTTGTTTCTGTTTCAGGTGCAAAGAGCCTGGACGGTATTTGAAGGAACTACCACCCACAGCGGTGATCATCTGCTTCCACAACGAAGCCTGGTCTGTACTGCTGCGGACGGTTCACTCCGTGTTGGACAGATCGCCGGAGCATCTTATACAAGAGATCATTTTAGTCGACGACTTCTCCGACATGCGTAAGTGAATCGGAAACAGCGCGGAGAGAATACAACAAGAGGAACAAACTCTCTGGAAACAAATGGAAATTTCACAATGGTGAAAAAATGGGGGAGGGGGGAGGAGGGGTGAAATCCTGGTGGACGTTGGTTGGTTAGGTGTCGTTACTTGTTCGTCCGAGCGAGCGTATCTCCATTCAGACTCGCGGGGCGATTCGTTATCGCGGACAGTATCCCGTACGCTCACGATGGATCGATTAATCGCGATCCATCTCTCTCTCTCTCTCTCTCTCTCTCTCTCTCGGTGGAAAGGACGCCGGTGGGAAACCCATAACGATCGGGTCAGCGTGAATAGCAACGGGAAAGCTGGCGTCGACGTGTGTTGCACGCGTGTACTCGGGGAAAATTCCTCGACAGGTTGATGCATGCCAGGCCGAGACGTTTGATATCTTTCCCGGTCTTCTCCCTCCTTTCTCGCCCCTATCAGGCTCGCTTACACGTACCGTGGAAAAATTTGCCTGCGTCTGACGCGCGTTTCCCGACCGACCAAGGAAACTTTGACGGAAGATCGATTGTCTCCTTCTGTCGCGTGATGCCTATTATTCCCGCGGCAACTGCGTTTCGACAACCTGTCGTCTCTCTCCTTTCTTCCGATTTTTCTTTCTCTCTCTCTCTCTCTCTCTCTCTCTCTCTCTCTCTCTCTTTTCGTTTTGGCGCTAGCGAGCAAAATCGAACGATCGAGATGATTTCGAGGTGTTTCACGGTGTTCTCCAAGGTTCGGCCTGGCGAAGACAGGTTGGTTCGATTTTTGCTGAGAACAGGGAAGATTGCGAAAGTTGCGTTGACGTGCGGTGTAAGTTTGTTAGCGAGTTGTCGGGGAAGAAATTCTATAGTACAGTTTCTGTGGAGGTTATCAGAGCTTATCAGAGTGGTAACTTAATAACAAGACTTAAAGGCTTTTTTCCATCATTTTAACAACTTTGTAGCAAAATTTGTTTAAAGAAACAGTCGAATCGTCCACTTGGTATTTTCATGCGCGAATGTTAACGACGCCGTAGATAGATTCGAACGAGAATCGACAAATTGAACGAGAAGACTTTCTTTCTTGCGTGTTTCTCAGCCAGCTTGAAAGCTTGAATCGAATTAACGCGTCGCTGGATGAAACGAACAGACAACTGACTGTAGTCACGTGTAACAAAAGGGCAGGAAACAAGAGAACAAAAAAGAAAAATCGCTGGAAAAGGGAAAGCCGGCGAGATTAAGCTCGCTTGACAGCGGGTTAAAGAAGGCGCAACGTGTTGGTAACGATACAGAGAGATACGAACACAGCCTGCGCAATCCTCCTTAAAAGCTCGAGATAAGCTTCCGTACTGAGCTGAAAGTCAAGCTCATAAACATAGTTATCACCGAGCACTGTGGATGTAGCAGATGTCGCGTCCCGTTACAAAACCAGTCGATTGTTTTATCATACCGGCGACAGACAATGAACTTTTTCCTCTCTCCATCCGCATTTCCATTTCCCTCTTCCTTTTATCTGTCCTTTTATCTGTCACAGGGCAGCGTGGAACAACACGGTTGTAACGAAGACTTTCTAATTAGTAATAACGAGGAACTGTGTGTCTCTTCTTTGTTGTCTCGAGGTTCGGTTGCAACGTAACAACGTCGGAGCAGCAGAATGAAAATGACGTGACGTTTTACGGCCATTGACCGTAATTGAAGTAAGGCTAAGTAAACTTGTACCCGATTTTGAAACCGTTTCACTGCTAGTGGAGATAAGCAAAAAATAGCTAGGATTTACGCGGTAGAGTGCATTATCCGTAGTTGAACCTTTGTTGGTTTCGGTTAAGATTTAGAGAGGGAACGTTCTCAACTAAACGTGTAAACTAATTTTCTAGCAATTGCCACTGCCGCTGGGACGCTGTAATTCATCAGATCTCGTAAATCTAAGTTTTACGTACAAGTTTGTTGCACGATGTAAAGTTGTTGCGTCACCATATTTCGAATCGCATCCCACGAAGTCAATAATTAAATTGTTACGATTTACAGCGTCGTCGCTCTGGTCGAGTTTAGCTCGTGGGTATTTCGAAAGTGAGATTTATTTTCATTGCAACGGACTGTAGACCAGTTTTGTCTAATCTCGTGGTAAATTTCAGTTCTTGTTCTTCACCTGAATGATTGCTCGTTAAAGTGTATCGAACTTCTTCTTCGAGCGTGGACGAAATCTCTGGAGATTCTTTATTGGTGAAATGCTTGATGATTCTTTAAAAAAGAGTGTTTAACATTCTTGCGCTGACAACCGATGTAATGTTCGTTCTTTCCAAACTTGCTTGCCTGACTGTCAACTTCAATGTCAGATCGATGGGAAAAGTTGAAATTCAACGAACTCGCATTCACCCTCCTGTTCGCTCGTTAACCAAATTACGAATTATTTCGCAGCGCATCTGCAGCGTCAACTGGAGGACTACATGATGAACTATCCAAAGGTGCAGATCATTCGAGCGCAAAAACGGGAAGGCCTGATCAGAGCGCGGTTGCTGGGCGCGGCGGCGGCGAAGGCACCTGTTCTCACATATCTGGACAGCCACTGCGAATGCACGGAAGGCTGGCTGGAGCCGCTTCTCGATCGGATCGCTCGTGACCCGACGACAGTCGTTTGCCCGGTGATCGACGTTATCGACGACACCACGCTCGAATATCATTGGAAGGATTCCGGCGGTGTGAACGTGGGTGGGTTCGATTGGAATCTGCAGGTAAGCAGAAATTCCTTTCCCGTCGTTATTTCGCGGAAACTGTACGCTATGCCGAGTGGCTGGGAATCGGGGATCGACTAATCGCCAGTAAAATTCGCAAAATTACTGCCGGCATTTCGACCATTGCGTTTTCGCTGCTGATCGATGCCGATTGTACTCTAGGAATTCCCCGTTTTCGTAACTCGCGTTGTTCAATCAGTGGAATTTGAAAGGGTTGTAAACGCTTCATGTAAAAACGATCAATTTAATTATATTGATAAGCGACGTATGATCGAACAGCATTTTTACATGTCCATATCACACGACTTGTACGCACGACATTGGAAACGTTTCGAGGCCATCTCCATAGCCATGGACTTTGAGCAATCTCTCAATGTCTCCAAGATACCTTGATTTTCTGTCTATCAGTTCAATTGGCACGCAGTCCCCGAAAGAGAGAAAAAGAGGCACAAGAATCCCGCGGAGCCTGTCTGGTCACCGACGATGGCCGGAGGCCTCTTTTCGATAGATCGGGCTTTCTTCGAGCGTCTCGGCACGTACGACAGCGGGTTCGATATTTGGGGTGGCGAGAATCTCGAACTCTCCTTCAAGACCTGGATGTGCGGAGGTACGTGCAATACCAATACAGAAATTTGCTCTGGAATTGATACGAGCGAGAGAATAGTCTCGGTTCGACAAGTTCTGGAAAATTGTTCCCCTTGAAAGAATAGGGCGTTTCAAAGTCCCTCAAATCTGAAAATAACGCAATATCCGTGTCGTTTGTTAATTTCTATAGTAAAAATTCGCCAGGAAAAGAGAAGTTACTCTGTCTTAGAGGGATTTCGGAGTACGTCCCTTGCATAGCAATTAATTGAGATTAAAAGACCAAATCTTTCTTTGGCCATGCTCTATTTAATTATGTCTCTAAAATCCCGATGTGTCCTGATCCATGCGTGACACATAATTCTTATTATTCAAAAAGTGAATTTTTTGACGTGGTGGAAGCCTTCAAGGTTTAAACAAACTTCCAATGAACACGACATCCAAATTAAAAAGAACGAAATTCGAAAGTTAAATTTTCATTTAAAGAAATGCAAAAGAAATTCACTGGAAAATCAAATTTCCCCTCCGTGGATCGTCATTCCTTTCGTTCATAAAATCACATCAGCCAGACACTTCTCCATTTTTATTTTTCCATGAATGGTAACTCTAGAGTACTGCACGACTGGAAGACTTCGGCAACATAATTTCTATTTGCTGCCGAAATAAACTCGCTGCCCATTCTCTTTTCGCCCGTAATCAGTCGCTTCCGCTGGGTAGATTGCTACGGACGAACGAACGAACGAAATTCGAATGGAGATTGTTGTTTCCAGGCACTTTGGAAATCGTGCCGTGCTCGCACGTGGGCCACATCTTCCGGAAGCGTTCGCCGTACAAGTGGCGCAGCGGCGTGAACGTGCTCAAGAGGAACAGCATAAGGCTGAGCGAAGTGTGGCTGGACGAGTACGCCAAGTACTACTACCAGAGGATAGGTCACGACAAGGTGAGCACTCTTGCTACTCAGCCTCGCTCTTCCGACCTTTCTTGCACTTGCATCTCGATTCTGCCTCGCCTTTAGCGCGAATTACCCGTCTCGAAAATCTCGCGGAAACCACAAAGATGTAGTAACGTAACGCAGCGATCGAAAACGGGTTAACGGAGAGGGACTACGGGCGGTTAATGGAATAAAAATTAGAATTCTTTCCAATTCGCGAAAAAATTTTACCGTAAATTAGCAAAACAGCACGTATTTTATAGAAGAAAGGAATAAAACGAGAAGAAACTTGCAGGTTTTCCGTCGTTTCACTTCGAATTTCGTAGCTCTGGGATTTTAAGCGACAATCCTCGCATTGCCGCGAATCGTTCAACTGCAACAATCCACCGAAAAGCCGAGAAGCCGAGGAGTCGAATCGGAGCAATTGCGAGCGAAATTCTTCTAACTAATCTTTCATAATCTCACCATTATGAAACGAGCTTTAAGCCTTTTAATCTCCAAGAATAATTCTCTCCTCTTATTACCAAGCCGTCCAACTATCGTTTCCCTCCTATCAAACATCAAACAGCCGCAGACTAGATTTTCGTGGTTTAATTCTTCCCATTTTTCGTTGTCTGTGTGAATTCCTCTCGTTCTGTTCCCTGACATAGAAAAATTCTCTCCTAATTTGACGATGTCCTCCTAATTTCTTCTTCAAGGATTAGCCCTTTGTATTCCGATCTTTATTTATTTACAGCTAAAAAATAATTACAAACTATCCGTGTACATCTTTCTTTAAATTTCGAGATGAAAAATAGAAAGAGATAAAATTATTTTTGTAATAGATGTCTGCGATTCGATGTGTCACAAGATGGAATTTTTAAATTATATGCACAAATTAATTTAAATACTTTCCAGATACTTAGAAGAATCTCTTTTTTTTTCATTCTCGTATGATTTTATTTTGTGAGTGACAATCGAGTACTAAATTGTTTTCATTCCTGCGATCTATCCTTTATTTTCGAACGAGATCCAATCGAGCCCGTTGAATAATTCAAACGTGAATCAACTTTTGCACTCGCCTATTTTCTTTAATTCTTCTTTTGCGCGAGACTTGGATTTTACTGGATAAACGTTGGCATGCGTGCAACGTTTGAAGTGATTTTTTTTTTTTATTTTCGAGCGCGATTCAACAGTTTACTCGAGCATTGCTGAAAATTGTTTTACAGCTATCGAAAACGTTTTATCAGTCGAGCACCGGTTTGCCGCAATACGTACTTGAATTTTCCATTTTCTATTTGAAATATACTTTTTTCCCTCCGACGCTTTGTAGGAAACAAAAAATATCGGAAAGTATCGAGTTGAAATACTTGCCTGTTAAAGTTCCGACAACGTCGAACGAAACGTATTTAAAATTTTTTAGAAATCGTTGCTTAATTGAATATAATTATACATATCACGTATCGCGTGTGAATTTACACATCAATGAAATAATATACCACTTTGTTACCCATTTCTCTATCCGGTATCCGTACTGTAACTGTCGAATAGAGTAAGTCAACGATTTCTGTATACCTTTAGAATTCCATGAAATAAAATTTGAATGCAAACAAAACCGAGGGATGAAAATCCTCGATGAACGTATCTAAGTGACCATCCGTGGTCCAATAGAGTCGTTGCACGAGCATCGTGAATCGTCCCCTGGTCAAGTATTACCATTATTCCGCTCTAGGAGGCTTTAAAACTCGAGTCCATAAAGGATTCCGTGTATTCCTTCCCTGTGGTTTTTATTTCCTTCTCGCTTGTTTCGTTTCTCTCTCTCTCTCTCTCTCTCTCTCCTTTTATTCTTTACGATTATGAGCCTCATTCCCCCCCTCTTTTCCGGGATCTTGCCTGAAACGACCATTTCCGCCGACACGTTTGTTCTCTTCGTACGTTCTAGGCAAAATTTCCGGGCTTATGATTCGCAATTTTCGCAGGGCAAGTACGGGGACGTATCGGAACGGAAGGCCCTGAGGAAGAAGCTCGGTTGCAAGTCGTTCAAGTGGTACCTCGATAACGTTTATCCGGAGCTTTTCATACCTGGCGAGGCGGTGGCTTCCGGCGAGGTAAGGATTTACCGCGTTTCTCCAAACCCCGTTGGAGATCTTTTCTTTTGCAGCCGGAGCGAAGCAACGTATGGAGCCACTCGTTTCCTTAACGACGTTACCAACCGACACTTTGATACACCAAGATCTACAGAACACTCGGAGGCTTCGCTCTCTTTCAGCCGCGGAATAGCTATTCTAAATGGGATAAACAGGATTAATGGACGTGAGGGGGCTTCCTTCTCGTCTTTTCACCTAACTTTTCTTTTTTTTTTCTTCTTCTTTTTTTCTCTCGGATTTGCTTCCCAGAGAGAAATGTCACGCGTCGCGTTCACATGTCGCGGTGGACGTGTGAGTCATAGTTGTGGATTTTCATTGTCAGACGCGCGTCAAAGTGTGCCGCGATCATGCTTCCTTTACCGTTCTTCGTAGGTAGTTTTCTTTTCTGAGAATTTACGATCAAGTTTAAAAAGGTGATCGTCCCTAAACTGTACAAGTGTAATTTTCAACTTTCCACTCTCTCGAATTCATTCGAATTAAACGTATAAAATCCACTTGCGAATTAACGCGTATTCTGTATTTTGTACGGAGGGAAGGAGAGAGAGAGAGAGAGAGGACGCGGTATGAAAAGGTCGTGCCTGTATCTATACAGATAGGCAAAGTTCAATTGTCGGTGGCGGAGACAATGATTGATGTCGACGAGCTTGCGACATAGAAAACAATGCGTTCGATCGAGAAACAATGCAGCCGGCGGTCGAGGCAATCTCAATCGGATCGCGGCCGAAGGCTCGCGCGACATCCGATCGGAAATCGATTCGTCTCGATCGGCTTGTTGAATTCTTGGCTTACAGCGCGGGCGAAATCGGGAGTCGCGCCCGCCGGATAATAGAGGCGAATCGAACGTCGCTCGGGGCGAAGACGTTTCAACACTGCCGCGTTGAATAAGGCTCCTCCTCCGCTTGCCTCGTTCGATTTCGATTTCGATTTCGCAATTAAAGTCTATCGTCCCTTTGATGTCTCATGACTCGCGGCCGTGTTTCCTTGTTTTCCCGTGTCTCGCGTCCGGCCGGCATCCCTTATCGCAAGAATTAAATTGCTAAACGGCAGATGGGGTGTCGTGGAAATTGCGTTTGTCAGTTTTATGCGTTCGCGTTTCCCTTTCCTCGTCGTTCGCTTTTGTCTTTCTACAGGCAACTATTCCACGTTGTCGTGTTTTTTATTCACGAATTGATCAAGTTGCCGATACTGTAATACGCGCTTTCAAAGTGGCAACGGATCTGTTTGGAGAAATCTTTTTTTCAACAGGCAGAAAAGTTTTTTCTTTCTTGAAAAAAAGATCTTAACCCACGAGAGGGTCCAGACGAATCACTTTCTTCCTCCGAGCAGCCCAAAAAATCCGCGATACGCAATTGGATTTGCAGAGTGGGGTGCGCAAGAGTCGCATCGATCAAATAACCGCGTGGTGCGCCAGCCATCATTTGAGAGGGCGTAATGACTCGCAGGAGAAACGGACCACGAGATTATCGGCAAGGAGAGCGACAAGCGCGACGATCATTTCGCAATTACGAATGCAGGGAAACAGAGGGCCAGGAGACAGTGTCGCAACACGACGGAAATAAATCGAGACGTGATTGATCGCTTCACCCTTCGACTCCCCCTCGTCCCCTTCCATCCCCTCGCCGCTCATCTTCCTCTAGATCGAAACGAAATTAATGCACTGTCAATCGCGAGACGAGTAAAACGGATCGTGCACATCGTGATTCCCATGGCTCCCGTGATTTCCGTCTCTGATGCCGTACGTCGAATTTATACACACTTCCCAATTCTTCTCAGTTCTATGCTATTGTTTTTTCTCCTATTTAATTGCGATAACAGGCAATGACGGGTAATTTTATTTAAACTAATCTATGTATATAATTCTATAACACAGAGATTCGTAACACTTTCGATCGATCCATCTATTTCAAATAATTCAAATTACTTTTGATGTTCTACAGCGTTTTTCAAAAATTTAAAGAAAATTTAAAAATTTTACGTCGTAACGTTAATAGTGATTTTAATCTCTGTAAATTCTGAAGAGATACCAACTCGCATGATACCAAGGTAAAATACTTAAAGTCAGTACCCTGTACGGCCATCAATTTGCAACAGTGATGATATTCATTTTGTCTGATGTACGTTGATTGTTATTCGCTCTCGAATAAAAACACAATCGTTAATAAATTCAGCGTAATATCCCTTCTTTCCAATTAACTTCGAATCTCTTGAACCAGTCCCTTTTTTAATTTTGCAAGTTCCATTTCCATTTCAAAATCATCCACGAAAAGAACCGAACAAAAGAAAGAAAAACCTTTGCCTGTTAATTTTGAAAAATCTGGGATTTATTTCAAACATTTTGACTTATCAGACTTTGCTCGTACGTAACAGTACACACACACACACACACACACACACACACACACATATATACGTACGTGACTGCCGATTAATCTCAACTGATTCGTGTTATCCAATATCGCGTGAGCAAGATATTTTTCATACTCGTACACCCCTTTCTCTTTCTCTCGTCCCTAGCGATTCTCTTTCCGGGCAATTCATAACGCTTCCAACGTTTAGTCGTTTCTGTGCGTTACGTCCGCGAGGCAGGCACCTGCGAAGATAACCATTTTAATATCCACCTTTAACTTTGCGTTTCTTTCGACGTTAAATCGTCGGAATGATCTTTACGATACGACAGCAGACGGCTCTTGTCGTATAGAAATATCGATCGGCAAAAACTCGGTCCCTGTTCCTCGTAATTTCGTGAACCTTTCTCTGCCAGAGTCTTAGGCACTTTCCTCGTGTACCTTCGTTCACGGCAAAGTCACGGCATCTAACGTTGCATTAAAGGCTTTCCATTCCTCCCATGTAAATTGCAGTGTCACGCAACCTGGATATTTCATGCTTTCCACCGTCCTTTCCACCCTCAGTCTCCCTTCGGTTTGTCGACTTTGTTGCGACGATTAACGAAATTTCCGAATTAATTGTCCCGAATAATTAAGTTATTGAAACGCGGATCTTAAAACGGGCAAGCGATGAAATCAACGTTTGCTGGCAAACGAGATTTACACCGTGGCGTGTGTGGCGTGCCTGACGATTGTTTCCTCTTTCATTTTTCTCGTTTTCTTCGCGAAATTGTGAATTCCAGGTCGCGGCGTTTCGCTTCGATATTCAGTTAACGGCACGCCGCTTCGCGAAACTTAAAAACTCATTTTGAAAGTGAACGCGGGGAATGAAACAGTTCCAGAGCAATGTTTTCTTGGAAGTTCGAGTTGTTCGAGTTTGAGAAGTTTCTCAAGTCGAAGTCCCTGGCCTCGTTCTCTGATGTCAGAGTTTCGTACCTCCGAATTCGCAAATGAATTTATATTTTTTCCATAGTTCCGCAAAGTCTTTTAGTTATATATATGTCTTTTAGTTATATAATTGCTCGTTTCTTCAGCTAGAACTAGAGGAATTGTTATTTGTGATTTACGATTAGAAAGCAAATGACGTTCGAAAAGATCGATGCGAGATATCAGCGTTTATTTTATCATATCTGTTCCTGCAGCGATAATGTTCCTTGATTATGATCGATTATGACGTACCAAAGGAAACGATGGCTTAATCTTTCATAATTTACACCGCTCCCGTTCGACAAGACTTAGGTACATGGTTTCCCCCATGTCATGCTCTTTGAACAAGATCGAGTGGAAATGAATTTTTCAACCGACTGTTCCATCTTTCTCCTGTGTGCATTTGCAAAAAAATCTCGCATTTCTTCGCTGTTTCTTTCGTAAATTTTCCCCTGTCTATCTTATTTATTTACTCCGAATATTTTACCAATCATTTGGAAATAAATTTTGCAATTTTGCAATTAACTAATTGTTACATCTTCCTCCTCGGCCAAAAAATTGCACATCTCTTTGCTTTTTTTTCGTAAATTTTACCCTGTCTATTTTATCTACGAATTATTCTACCAATCGTTTGCCACATAAACGTATAAATTTCTCTTCAGTTCGACAGAAAACGAGAAAAGAAAGAAAGAAAGAAAGAAAAAACACCAATGGAGTAAAGCGTAAACGAATTTTCGAGGGTGGAAAACCGTAAGGTAGAAATTAAACAAAAGGAAACTCGGCGCAAGGATTCGTTTTATCGAGGCAGCGCACAGGGTTGAAATCGGAAAAGAATCAAGCGTTAGCCATGAAATCGTGTGGCGTTGAACTGATATCGATCAACCTGTTTCCACCCTTGTGAGTATCCTGCTATTTCTCTCAGTCTCCCGTCTCCCCCCTCCTCCCATTTGAATCGGAATGGAATGCGTTTTGCCATATTTTTTCCGCCGGCGCCGGCGGTCGCAGAGACTCTTACGGTCGTACCTGTAGCGGGTAAATAGTGGGAAAAGGGGGGAACGCGTTTGAAAAAGGAGGAAACGCGTAAAGGATGGCCGGACATTTTCACGAAGAAGCATTTCACGCGCTCCGCGTTCCGGAATGTGGTCGGCGCCGCGTGCGAAATAACAATTTTGCTACCTGTCTCGAAACTTACGCTTTGCCTCCCTTTTCTTTTGCCTCCTCTTCTCTTCCCCTCTTCCTGACGTTCCCCGACATTTTCACTTCTCTTATTTCCTTTTCTTCGCCATCCCCTTCTATTTCCCCGTTTTTTTTTTTCCTCTACGGAAAATCGGTTAAATCATTTGATTAGTCCTCGATAGTTCGACGAAAACGAGGAGACGAACAGATTTATGGTTCCAGCGCGACTCTTGCACGCGAATAATTTTCGAATCCACGGTGGACCGATGCGAGTGAAAAATCTGCGCACGTTGGAAAGTGTGCGTTTGATGGATGCTCGGGGAAAAGGTCGATTTGGATGTTCGATGAAACGGCGGCGTGGAAAAGGGTGAATGCCTCGTGACGTATGTTTCACCAACCGGTTCCGCTAGATTTTTGGTTATCGAGTAGCCTGTTTGTTCAATATTTGACTATTTGCTTCAGCTGAGATAGCGGCATCTCCCTCGCACCGTTTGCAAACGAATTTTATGAAAATTTAACCGTCGTTCGAGAATCCTCGAATTATTTACTTTCCAATCACCTCGAATTCTACCAACTCTTCAAATAATCTCAAAAAGAAAAAGAAAAAAAAAGAAAGACAGGACTCTGTAAATCGTCGAAAGGAACCCTCTCGCAAAAAAATTAGTTGAACGAAACGAGAAGCCTCCGAGTTTTCTCTAATAGAACTCGGCACGAAGATGGGGAGTCTGCAACTTGCGGAATTTCGTCGAAGCCGGCCGAACGTCGACGATAAATCAGTAGTTTTTATTCCAGCCATACCGACCAACGACGACGACGACGACGACGACGACGGCGGCGGCGGCAACGGCGGAGAGGATGAAAAGGATGAAGATGCTCGTGTTGAAACTGCAGCGACCACAGAATTCTTGCATGCAGCGAAATCGGGACTGCTGACCGAGCTTCCGTGACTGAATGCATCCGTACCGCATGAAAACGCATACGCGCGCAAGCACACGTAGTCTTCCCTGCACCTCTGCATGTGTGTGTGTGTATAGAAGACGGTGTGTCTGTGTTGTTTGTGGGTTTGTACGCGCAGGAACCGGTGTATATTCGCGAACAAAACACAGCAGCTCGGGCTCATTTTCGATTTGTCGCCGTCTGTCGGAAAAACGGAGGGGCGCATCGCAGCCTGATCTTTTTGTTCGCGTCTCGCGCAACTGTTCTAGTCACGAGCAGCCGTGTACCACGAGCTCACCGGCGAAAAAATCGACCGATCGTCGGATCTCAGCCAGGAATCTCGATCGAACGAGAGAAACGTGGGTTTCAGAAAGAGAGAACTTTATCTGCAAAAAAAAACCGTGACAACTCTGAGGGCGACGAGCAGTTGAAATAATTGTAGACTATTTTCGAAATCAGTCGAAATTCTATCGAGACAATGAGTTTTAATACGAGTCATTAGCATGATGTGAAAAAGCACAATCAGGTTGTACACATCGAGAGGATGAATTTTGTCACGGAAGCTTCGCAAGGCTTTACGATCGAAGCGTTCTTTCAATTATTGCATTTCGCTTCGTTCGTTTTTGTGTTTTTGTGTGTTTTTTTTTTTTTTTTTTTTTT